AGACTGTGCAATCGAGTTTCAGTTGCGACTAGTTTTGTGCCAAGCACTATGATTACGCTTTTTTTTATTTCTAATTCTTAGTGTTTGCATTCAAAGACGCTTGTGAAACAGACCGAAAGTGATTGAGCGAGCAAGAGAGGGAGAAAAATACGGAATAAAAGCAACAAATCGATGGAAGGAAACATCTCGATCTCTGGGTATTGTTTGAACTGGTGTCATCAATCTTCAACATTTGAATTAAATGCGTGTATGATTCGACGCTACCAATTGCCGTTGTTTTCTTTAGATTTGATTATTGTTGTTGTTGTTTTTTTTTTGTCCGTCAATTATATCCACCGAAATAGTAAAATACCTACAAGCGATAATTAAACAAGTAAGTTTCGCTACAGTTTGTCGTCTCATTCTCAAATTTTGCTCGTTCATTTCCATATATCATTTGGTTGGTTCTTATATATATGATTGTTGCGTCATTTAAAGCGATTAATACGCAATACAACGTAGAATGTATATGGTGTTGTCATCAAAATGCGTTCCCGTTTTTTTTTATCGTTTTGCAGATTTCGTCGTGTAGTCATTCGTTTCTCCTTCACCTCTCATCGTTTCAGCGCTCTCTGCTCATTTACGTTCGCATATTGAACCCTGTGCGTTTACCTCGCAAAAGGTGAATTTCTTTGTGACGTAATTTACGTGCATTTTATGAGACACACATCGGGGGAATGGGAACAAGCATGCACTACAACATATTCTTGATGTGATTTCTTTTCTTTTATTATTTTTTTTTGTTTCTTCTGGTCTTTGTGTTGTTGTATTATGTCGTTTACCATGAATTGTAGCGTCGAATTACCGTTTGTTTTATCATTGGTATATGTATGGACGAAAGTCAACAGCGATTTTAGTTCCCACGACTTTGAATGGTGTGGGGTGGCCCAAATCAAATTCAAAAGAATTTTCAACAACCTCTCGCTTTGCATGCATCGCCATTTTTTTTTGGACAGAAATAAGAAAACGAAAACAAAAAGAAGTTTGCAATCTGCCACATTTTTCGCATCATATTACACATTAAATCACCAAAAAGTTTCACGCTTGAATGGTGTGCTCTTAAGATACAAATATTTATCCTATAAATTTAACATTTATCACTTAGACTCTTCTTATGATCGAATATGATTCAATCAGGATTAAAAAAACTCATTTGAATCAATCTATTTTTATATAAATTTTAATCAATGTCCCTTTTTAATGGCGTGGTTTTTGTCCATATTTTGACTCTTCGATTGGTTTTTCCTCAAGGAATGCTATAGCATTTGATAAAAACAAAAACTTAATTAATCCAAGTTATCATCAAGTTGAGGATACAACAATAAAGAATTTTGAATCATCAATTCGTCGAAAATGACTCAAAAACCGATACACACTCACGTAAAAAAAAATCTGCTCATCATAAAAGTAGCCAATGAAAACTAAAACAAAAAACGGAGATTAAGAGATAAATCATTTCATTCGTACGCAAAAAAAATAGACATGATCGCATTGAATTCGTGGGATTAGATCACCCTCCCTCACTTTTTTCCACGGTTTCGTGCGCACGATGTTTGTATGTGGACACTGAAAAGAAGTCTATCGCATCGTCGTCACACACAAAGAGGTTTCGATCACGGTTGTCATTGGTTGGTGTGGTGTGAAACGCGTGTATTTTTCACATAAACAATGTTTGGTGTGCTCGATCGCAATGTTGTGGGGAGAACGAGAGAGCGAACCGCATATACACGGTGTATAAATTGGACGCGATAATTCGCGATTCGGCGAGTACCATGTAGTGGAACATCAACGTGTTCTCTGAACGCGACTACGGGAAAAAATAGGAGGTGCGCATATTTTAATTGCGCAACCCGCAATATTCGCATACAAGTTTGAATACAAATACTCAAGTTTATAAAAGACAACTATAGACGATGTTATTAATTTGTTTTCATATAGAAAAAACTCAAGAAGAGAACCCGAGTGATAGATCCTTAGTGAAAACTTATGCATATAGCTAATGCTATTACTATTATATTTTTTCTTCTCTTGTTGACTCAAAACAAACGAATCAACAGTATTAATACATACAAAACACGATTTTGTCACAAAACTAATACAATAATATTTTGTCAGCCGAGCAAAAGCATGTTGTCACAGTTCAATTCAAGTACATTTTTTGTTTCTCTCTCTCTCTCGCTCTCTTTCTCTTTCGTCAGAATCTTCATCCAACTCTCGCGATTCGATCGCGAATAAATGGCTAAGCAATAAGCAAAACCACTACTAAATGCGTCTCTCACTCCGCACAACCAATGGGTTGTGTGTATGTGCCTATGCGCCTTCTTCATTCATACACACCATCGTTTTTTTTTTGTTTTTGTTGCAAACGGACACGAGTCACATGGAACTCATCGGCCGTAGCACAAACACAAATTCCCATGCACAACACGCACACATTCCAATAAGCGTGCTGCCGCTATTGCTGCTACTGTCGCTCTAATCGGGTTTATGTCGAATGTATGAGAGCGAATTAAGAAGGAGCGAAACGAAATGAAATCAAAATCGGTTGATGTAACTAAATGCGTTGGATGAGACGCAAAACAATACAATTCAATGTGCTGTTTCCACTGTGTGGTGGTTCAAACATGCCATCACACACAACACTCACCGGAGTGGAATCGAAAGAAGCATGCATGCACATCGCAACGCATATACATGCAATGCCACACTCTCACACTCTCTTCGCGCTTCGTTTCGTTTGTTTGTTCGCTCGCTTACTCGTTTCGTGTGCGCTCTTTCTATCTTTCTCATTGACAGAACTGTCAGAGAGCATAGCGCCTGGCTCTGGCATACTCACTCTATGTTGTGTATTCGCTCTTCTATCGAAATGTGTAGTGTGTGCCCTACTACAATGTACTTGAATACTAGTTATGAAAATCAGTATCGGTTTAAACACACGACCGACAAGATCGACCCATGCAGGAGATCGTATCGGTTCTGTATGACTCTGTCAATTTTAAAAACACCATAAATTTTTCGTTCGTTTTTTTTTATACTTTTGGTTAATTTCATTCGAAAACGAAGTACTATTTTATAAAAAAAATAACGTTTTATCTCTCCTGTTTTAAATTTAATTGTTTTCTAACGAATTCTAAATAAAATCATTGATTTTAAGTTTTATATATATACACACACAAACTAATTTACCTAATCAAAGAAGTAAAACAAACGTAACAAGTAGAAGACTCATCGATGTTTGTTATTTGATGCTAAACAAAACGTAAACATACAATTCGAACCTTAGAGAAAGAAAGAAAATAATAAGAACAAAATTTTTTTTTATCAAAATCACCCCGCGCGTGTATATACACACATAACGTACGTAAGAAGTAAATATTTGAAATATTTGAACCGCCGAAGAAATTGCTAGTGGAAAAACCGAACTTTTTGCGCACACAAAAATATCGAATGTGCAAAGTGATAAAATTGATATTCAATAATCGTTTGGACTTACATTGAAATAACGTTTCAAATTTGAATTCTACCGCATAACTCTAAGTGCACTTTGAACACATGACATACACACATAGGCAATATATACAACAAAACTATTGCCGAAAAAAAATTACAATTTTCTTGAGAAAAGTCGATTTATTCGTTTCAAAATCACGCGGGTGATAATAGTGGAAAAGACGGTGAAAGAGTACTTTGATCGCACAACACACATTTCGGAAGTGGAAACAACCGAATTTCGGTATCATCGAATTGTGAACTGATTGATCTTTTGTTCAAATTAAAGACAAATTTTAACAGTGACAAATTTTATGATGCATTTGTAGTTTGAATCGCAAAGTATCAAAATCAAAAACAATTGCAATAAATGTGTGTGTTTTGTATTTTAAAAGCCAAAACAAAAAAAAAGAAATGTTTATTTAATATCGAGTCACACATTTGTTTAAAACACTTCTCATCGTGTTCTCGATTTCGAATCGTCATTGCGGTGATCGGTATTTTGTTACAATCGAACGTTAAATATATGTACATATAAGTGACCAATTCCAGTGTGAGTAATATATTAATGAAGTTGTAAAGTTCAGTGTATGCAACGAGAAATAAAGACATTTCGAAACAATCAACCAGACCACAACAAATGAAACGTAATAACAACTAAAACATAAACATTTTGGTTATATACATATATATATATTTTTTACATTTTTCCTACTCGAAATCTACGCTATTATTTAATGATAATCATTACAACTTCCACTTTGAAGACTATAAGCCGCAGCTAAAGCAATCCTAATAATAATAGCAATCATTTTAATATATTTAAAACTAAACCAAAAAAAAACATTGTCATTTCAAACGCCTGTATTTTTTTCGGTCTTTACAAATCAACCAACAATATTTACTCATTCGAATACGCTTCGAATCGGTTTTTTTAAAACTTTGCAAAAAAAAAATCTTTGAACAAATTGACATAAAAGATTGACACAAGTAATAATAGAACATAATTTTGTTGTAGGAGAGAAAAAGATGAAAACGCATCTTATAATACTTTAAATACAGCGCCCATACACGATCAACAAACATTTTCAGAAAACTGATCTGTTTTCCTTCTCGCCAAATTATAAAAGCAAAATAAACGTTGCACATTTGCAAAGTGCGCGCTCGCAAGCAAAATCATACAGCACAACAGCAACATTAAATTTAACAAACGATAATATATAAATAAAAAAATTTAATAATTCAAGCAATTTGACTACTAATCTATACACACATACACAACCACACACACACACTCAATTCAGTGATTTCTCTCCAAAATTACTTACTTCTAAAGCAATTGCCAATTTTAAAACGATTTCAGAAAAAAATCACATTTAAAACGTTTACCGCCTTCAAAGTAATTAACATTTGAAAGAAAGATAAAAAAAAAACCATTTTATATTCGCTTTTGAATGACTCGCGTAACAGTTTACTTAAAAATGATATAAAAACCCTTAACATATTTTGTGAATCGAAAACGCTTATGTAAAATAGCAGCTCAAGTCCATTCGGTAACAATTCACAACTTGATTAACTTGAAAATTAAAAAAGTGGTGCAAATTTCAGGAGTAGCTTAAGTAAAGAGAATATTTTTCCATAATATCCACAAAACAATAAGAGAAAAAAAATCACATTCGAAATAGCAAAGAAAATAAAGTTAGTGAATGAAACAAAAAGAAGATATTTCCATTTATAAGATGTGTACATGAGCTAATCGATGAACACGTAAGAAAGAAAAGAACAACAAGCAAAGCAACCGTTTGAAACACCAACTAAGTGTCTTACATACGAGATTATTTTGTTTGTTTTATTAGTTTTTCATTGTCGTTGCTTGAAACCACAAAAAAACGAGACGCGATCGAGTGTGCGTTTTGAATAGTTCACAAAGAAACAACAACAACGACAACAACAGTAACGATTCAATCTTTGTTCGTCTTCAATTGCGCGACAGAGATAGAAAGCAAATTAAAAATTGAAGAAATAAGCAAGCACAACAGTGATAAGAACGAACTAATGCCAGTGGTCACTCACTTTGAACCGAACAGATACAATTGAGACTGTTAACCACACATAGACGCGCACATACAACCACAACAGTTAGCCAAATATTTCGGACATTCAAACAGAATAAATCACATTTTTACTGAACGTTTGCGTTTTTGAAAATTGGTTCGAAGCAAAATCACATTCCGAGTGAACACACACACGCGCGCTCACAACAACAACAAACGGATATTTGTAAATGTAAATGTCAAAGCCAACTGGACTGCGTGCATACAATACAAATCAGAGCAAATTCCACGCACATTTACACAACAAAAAGAGTATTGTGCGATTCTATTTCTTTCACACTCTACTATTTGATTTGTGATGATCGAATAGTGTGTGAATTGATTTCTCGCACATTGATTTCAGGGTGAATCGTCAGTATTGTAACGGAGAGCACGCACAAACCAACACACACTGGTGAACACATAATCTTATCGCAAAACCGCTTGAAAAGATCGCTCACCAAAAATACAAAGCGGAACTGTGTCTTAGTGACGCGCGCAAGATTTTTTTTTTTTGTGTAAAACAAAATTACATTATCCAAATACTAAAACAGAACAAAAAAAGTGCTTAGAAAAGAACTTGACATTTTGAATTTTTGTGCTGTTTTATTTATCCGATTTTCAATGGTGGTAGCATCAACACTGTCAACTTCATCGGCTTTACCATCATCATCATCATCTCAAAGTGGCGAAAAGAACGGAAAAAACTAGCAGAAAACTATAAAATACTTGCTATTCGCAATTGCAGAGCGCGCCCATAGAATTTCACATCGTGTGTCGCATCGTAAATCACGCACATGGATTTAATTGCACTACTCGACCAACCGAAAGGAACACATTTATTATCTGTATACGAAATTTCGCCTCGTTTGCGGAAACAGTAGAGGCCAACATCATTACCATAGCGCGCGAGTGTGGCAAAGCGACAACGACCGACAAAACAAAAAAAAAACCAACAACAACAACAATAAAAAACGCTTACACACATTATAAAAACGACAAAGTGAACGAAATAAAAAAAAGGGAAAGAGAAAAACGAAAAAACGAGTGAGAAATACATATACCCTAAAGCATAAAATCGGCTGAATAATATCAAAGAGCAGTGAATATATCACGATAGAGAGAAAGAGCGCAACCCCCTCAAAAAGGAGAAAATAAGAAGTCAGGAAAAATCATCACGATTATCATTCGGTAAGTGTTGGCCAAGTACCAAAAAATGATAGAATTTACAAAACGTTCGAAATATGGGAGGCCACGGCGGCAATAGCAGCCGCCGCCACCGTCGTCTTTGTCGTCGCCGTCACAGCCACTGAGAGAGAGAAAATCCAAATGCAACATTTTACATTTAATGCATTTTACTCCTGCTGGAAATGCTTTTCGAACCGCTCTTTACTGTATTACATTCCACCAAATGATACCATATTATATTACCAGTAATACAAATGATAATGGGTCAATGCGTTTCCAATTTTTTAATGTGCACCACATATATCTGCTATAATGTCGTCTTTGAATCGCGCGAAACGCATTTGTCGATATAATTCTGTGAGTGTGTGTCGTCGTAGTTGTCATCATCGTCATCATAGTCGGCCCGAGTGTTTTTCGTTCAATTTCTTGTTGCCGTTTTCGTATTTTCTTTCTTTTTTTTTTTGGATTAACACACTTGAACACACAGTGCATACTCATCGCGAATATTCGAGCATTTATTATTTTATTTATGAGTTCTCCGTTTGTGTGTCGAATGAGGATCAACAAATGAACTTGGCGACTCTCAAGCTATTGACTTTGATAATATAAGGATAGTTTTTATCCATTGCCAATTGCTTCCGATTGATATGTGTGTAGTAGCAAGAGACACACACACACAAAACAACAGAAACACACACACGTAGGAAGAGTGGAAAGACCTAATGGATTAAGATTCGTTTTTTTTTAGCAATAGAGAGAGTTGCTTTCATTTCTATACCACATAAAAATTGCTGTAGAAATTGCAGCCGAATGTGTCTGCGTGTGTGTGCTTGAACTTTTTAGTGCATTCCACAATAGCCACAAAATTCGTATCTTTACCCCATTCTATTCTATTTCATTTGACTTATATTCATCCGCAATGCAGACGAAGGAATGAATTTCTCAAACTATATACGGTATCATAGAGCTCATTGAGCCGAAATTCAATGCTACTACTCTTCTTTATTTTTATTTCATACATGAGTAGCCGACAAAAAAAAAGAAGAAAGAACGAAAAATATCCAAAAGAAACAAAGCCTTTACCGAACTAAATTTTGCATACTCAAAATATAATTCGTCAGGAAAATGTAAAAGACACAATCGCCCAAGCCATTTGCAATACACGAACACACATACACCAACCAAACTATAAGATGAACACATATCATCGAATTCCCTCTATCTCTCTCGTTGAGCGTATTCAATAACAATCATTGTTGAACCACTCGAATTCCGATGGTACAATTATTAACACATTTTGTATGCATATTGTATTGGAAAATCGTAATTCAAATCGGAACTTAAGATATAAAAACCCGATTTTTGCGCACAAAAAAACATTTTCTTTCATCTAAATGCATTTTACTGAAGCTAGAGAGAAAGAGGAAGAAAAAGGGACGAAGAGTCTATGTGTGGAGAAAAAAAAGAATGCGCATGGCCAACTAGAAATATGAAGGTTTGTCGTTCAAATGTTTAAACTTTTGACCGCATGCAGCGTAAACTTTATTATGCACACTTTTTTTCTTCACTTCATACAAAAATGCACGCGAAAAAATGAAATACTATTTTTCTTCCTTCATTTGTTCGAGAAAATCGGAGTGTTAATATGTAATAAACGCATGCA